TCACTAAAGCCTATAATTGTTGTAGTGACTACTATTGGCGACTTTATAACCATAATTTTCAAAAAAAAATATTAACAATAATATAAAACATTAGTAATTTTTACTTTTCAAAAAAATATAGATTGTCTTATTCTTATTATTGTATATCTACAAAGTGAGTGAGACTACTTGAAAGAGTATGAATTAAGATTTAATTAGTTATTTTGCTTAGAAGTATTACTTGTCAATCTATGGTGTAACTAAATTATTTTAAATTGTTTTGACATGTGATATGAGATAATGTAAAACACCTATAGGCTCGTTTGATTGCCGTATTAAAAATGAATTGATTGGATAAAATAATACAGTCTAATACAATATAGATAAACTAGTCATATCTCTTGCTTGAAGGCACGAATAAAACATAAAATTCGAATGGCAAAAAAATCAATCCCATTATATTAAANTGAATAAAACATAAAAATTCGAATGGCAAAAAAATCAATCCCATTATAGTAAATAAAAATTTTATCTCTTCATTTATTTGATTACATTATTTCAAATTTATTTTTATCCATTATTTTTTAAAAAATATCGACAAAATTTTCTCAAAATGCGCAATCCGATAAAATTTTCTCAACATATGTATACTATCGTATATAAATAATATCTGAAATAAAAATTATGTTAAATAACATATTAATTAAATATTAAAAGATTGAACATGTGATAGAAATGAGTGATGTGATGAAATTTTTGGAGAAGGGGGAATATATAGGGTATAAAATTTAACTTTCCATGTGATTTATTATATAAATAAAAGAAAAGATTAAATATGATATTAGAATAATACGTCATTTTATCTAGTGTTTGATAATACACAATATAACGTTGAATAATAGTTATTTGATCAAATTGGTTATTTGGTTAGATAATTATTTCATCGTATAAATGTTGAATTAACAAAAATACCCTCAATTAGTGTTTGTTACATTGATAACAACTTGATTTTATCACTTATACGTCTACCAAATGAGTCATATGTGCCTAATCCGCGAGGAAAGACTAAAAATTACAATTACATCCAAGAGGAAAGTTTCATATTCAAAAGGATCGAGATATTTTATTTATTATTAGATATATATGGTGCACATTTGATGTGCGTCCTCAAATATCTAACCAGTATTGTATCAGACTCACAATTCAATAAATATAAGTTGAACTTAATTCTATATCCATGCATGATAGCAAATGCAACTCGTATGCTTTTGACCATTATCTCACGCTTTGTGTCACCACAGAAACCTTATCTAACCTATTCAGACTACGCACATCACAGTACATCAGACCTTCCACGCATCAGTGGAGTTTGGGATATTGGAATAAGGACCATTAAATTCTTACCATCCAAGTTATCCGATGAATTTATAGTGGTAAAGTGAGCGGAGTTGAAGAATAGGATTTAATTTTTATTTTAAACTCTACATTCTACCAGCCTTATTAATTTGGTATTGCTGTCGACCCAGACAGAAAAAACAAAAAAAAAAAACCTAAGGGAAGTTCAAGTGGTTAACAGGAATGTGCTGTAAATCCAAACGATCTGAATTTGAATTTTAGTAATCTTTTGAGATTAAGACATGAGGAATTTATCTCTCATGGATATCTTAGTTCCAGCGTAGATGATCTGTCTTTGACAAAACCTGAGAAGAGATTAGTCGAGGTGCGAGTTATTGACTCTCAAGTTAAAAATCAAAATGAGAGGATTTAATGATCCATAAAACATCTTGATTATCATCATTAAATGAACATGGAGAAACTACTCAAAAGCTCACAACCCTTGTCTTTTTAACCCCAACAGGTCATTGGCGGAGGGTTATTCCTGCTTAATTGATTGTGTATGCAAATGAGCAACTTTTAATGAGGCGTAAGTATAATATCACAATAGAAAAAAAAAACGGCCAAATGATACATCTGTTTGTTACAGTAATGTTATTGTTGGTTACCCAGGGCAGAAAAATACCACAAACAAAATATAAACAAAGAGGATATTTCTATTTCACTCTGGAAATAAAATACAAAAATTCTCACTGAGATCTCTCCCGAATCTCTGTCTCTTTGTTTCTTCCTCGCTGATTTAAAAACCATACTTTTGACCTTCACTAAACTTTCTATTTATAGGGAGTGTTTTTGGCCAAATAAGTCAAGAAGAGAGTGAACACATTTAAAGCTTTGCTAAGCTTTGTCAAAGTTTAGACGTCTATAGTCCACTGGCAAGCCATCCATAGGGTGGCTACTAGCATGGGTTACTGGGTAGTAGAGTCAGCTACTGGATACCCTTCTGATGGAGCTGGATGAGCTGGAACCTTCAATTATAAAGAAAATCTTACATAACTCAAATAAAATCTAAAAGTTAAAACTCATATACATATCATCTTTTGAATGAGTGTGGAAAGAGTAGCTTCCATTGAAAAAATTGATAAAACTTACTTATCTAGAGATTGATATGTATTTAAGTTATAATTTTTTGAATTTTATTTAAGTTTTGTAATATTACTCTTGTTATAATAGTACTTTGAAATCAGAGACGTAGCTGGTCAACTGGTTTGGCTGTAAGAAAGATTATAATGCCAGCGTTTGCTTCATTTGTTTTACTTTTACGATGTGTATCATAAACCTAAACAATTCATTTGACCCTCTTTCTTGTGTTTATAAAACTGCATCTATCTTGCCGAGAGAGGGAGATAGTGAGAGTGAGAGACAGAGAATGAGCTCCATTACTTCGGCAAAGAAGCCTCATGCAGTGTGTATACTATACCCAGCTCAAGGCCACATAACCCTCATGCTGAAGCTATCAAAACTCCTCCATCACAAAGGCTTTCATATTACCTTCGTAAACACTGAGTTCAACCACAGACGCCTCCTGAAATCTCGAGGTCCTGACTCACTCAACGGCCTTTCGTCATTCCGATTCGAAACCATTCCTGATTTTCTTCCTCCATCAGATCCTGATGCCACGGAAGACATCCCCTCTCTTTGTGAATCTACCAATAACCACTGTTTGGCTCCATTCAGAGACCTTCTTTCCAAACTTAATGAAACCTCGTCGTCAACGGTGCCTCCTGTTACTTGTATAGTTTCTGATGTTATCATGAGCTTCACACTGGAAGCAGCTGAAAAATTGGGCATCCCTGATGTTTTCTTCTGGACCGCCGCCAGTGCTTGTGGCTTCTTGCTTACATGCAATATCACAAACTCATCGAAGACGGTTATACACCACTCAAAGGTATTAATCAACTATTAACCAACTGCATAAGTGTTTTTGTGGAAGATATTAGAGCTTATGCTAAACACCTACAATTTAGGGTTTTTCACAAGCTAAGTGCCCTTAATAGGGCAGCTCATTGGGTGCCAGCAGCGACACTATCTCATTCTATTGATGTGAATTGGGTCATCTGTCCCCCCGTTAGAGGTTAAGGTTTTTTTTGGGTGGCAGCAGCAACACTATCCCATTCTATTGCTGTGAATTAGGTCAGCTGTCCCTCGTTAGAGGTTAAGGTTTTTTTTGTATCTGTAACCATCACTTTCCTACTTGAATGAATTTCTTTATCTTCCCAAAAAAAAAAAAAAAAACTGCATTTGTGCATATGCCTGCAGATCTTTTACATTACCCTTTTATTTTATTTTTCAAGCTAGTAACGCATTTATCTTGTATGAGAGAGGAGCCCTATTTATAAATAATGGGTTTCATTTGACTCATGTTAAATGATCTACCATTAAATTAAATTGAAAGGTGATGTATCATTGAGAGGATGTTTATCTTCTCAATTGACCAAATTTTGGTACTAAATTAAGAGATCAAATAACATGACAACATATTATTTGGAGTCTTTATTGAGACTCAAATGATATGACACCAAATAAAGAAGCACAAGTCAGCTGCCATGTCATTTGAGCTCTTAATTTGGTCTCAAAATTTAGTCAGTATAACATTACTGTTATCTTCTACCCATACAATTACACAGTTGCGGTTAGGCCCATACATTGAGAGAATGTCAGGCCAGTCAATGGATCGTATTTTGAATTGAATTTGATTAGCTGGATATAAATTAATTAATATTTTTTATCGATAATTCAAACTCGAATTCTAATTTAAATCCGAATCCAATATCTTTTATTTCACTGATTTGGTTCTATATATACTTATATCTAATCCGATTATGATTCGACTCAAATTATTTATATTTTTTTTATATAAATATTAACGGAATTAAATGATTTTTTTAAAAAATTACTTGCAATTTAGGTATAATTTGTTAAATAAGTTATTTGGATCGGATCAAATTTTTGGATTATTAACAGATTCGGATATGAATCACAAAATAAAATATGTTAGATTATCGGTTTGAATTCGAATCAGACTTTTACGGATGTATATTTTAATACACCTAATTACGGATGTATGTGTGTACAGTTATATTGATAAGGGTCTCTGACTGTATCTCTTTGTCTCACTCATTTTGTCGTGGTTCATATGTATGCCCCCTTTGAAATGAATTTTGCTACATTGAATTTGATTCAAAAGTAAATCTTCAAGACATTTAATATTGTTTCAGCAGTTCTATTTTAACATTTAATAATGTTTTAATTTTCTGGATGTGCAGATGCTAGTTACTTTACAGATGGATATTTGGACACAATTATATATTCGGTACCTAATATGAAAGGTATACGTTTGAAGGACATCCCCAGTCTTATAAGAACGACAAACCGAGATGATTTTATGTTAAATTTTGTTGTGTATGTAATGGAAAGAGCTAAAAAAGCTTCTGCAATAATTTTGAACGCATTTGATGAATTGGAGCATGATGTTATTGATGCACTTTCATCCATTCTTCCTCCAATTTATTCCATTGGACCATTACATATTCTCCAAAATCAGATCAATGATAACAACTTGAAGTTGCTCGGATTAAATCTTTGGAAAGTAGAGTCAGAGTGTCTTGAATGGCGTGATTCCTAAGATCCTAAGTCTGTGGTGTACGTGAATTTTGGAAGCATCACTGTCATGACACCAAACCAAATGGTTGAGTTTGCTTGGGGACTAGCTAATAGCAATCAAACCTTTTTGTGGGTAATAAGGCCTGACCTTGTTGCTGGTGATTTGGCTATTCTTCCTCCTGAATTTGTGAAGGAGACAAAAAACTGGGGCTTATTAGCAAGTTGGTGCCCACAAGAAAACGTTCTTAGCCACCCAGCCACCGGAGGATTCTTAACTCACACCGGGTGGAATTCGACTCTTGAAAGTATATACGCTGGAGTGCCAATGATCTGTTGGCCATTTTTTGGGGAGCAACAAACCAATTGTTGGTACTGCTGCACTCAATGGGGCATTGGCATGGAGATAGACAATGATGCGAAGAAAAATGAAATTGAGACTCTTGTGAGAGAGTTGATGGGTGGAGAGAGAGGCAAAGAGATGAAGAAGAAGGTGGTGGATTGGAAGCAAAAGGCTGAAAATGCCACCACAGGTTCAGCTTATGCGATTCTGGAGAAAATGATCAACCAAGTGATTCTCACTCAAAAAAAATAGAATTGTCTCCTCTCTAGTGTTGGAAACCTGGTTTGGAACTTTTAATCATCTCTTACCTTCATTTTACTTGTTTTTTTTTTGGTAGTGTGGATTTTGCTAGTACAGTTTGGCGTAGCAAAATCTTCACGTTGTGGCAAATGTCATTGTGTTCAAACTAAATGATCTTAATGCACAAAAATTGTATAATTAAGCAAGTGAGCAGATGAATGTGATTCATGGTGGGACTGATTTTGGTTTCGAAAATGTTTTGTAGATAATTTTTGTTGTAATTAAAAAAGAGTGAAATGAGATCTCATATATTATGTTTTTCTACATCATAAATTTAAATGGGACTTGTGTTCTGAAGTAGAACCCCTCACTCGTAGTCAAATATAGAAAGGAGGACTTTAAAGAGTACCATCAACATGACCATAAACGTCAGACTCTTAAGAACTGAAAGAAATAGTTCATGTTAGAGAAGATAATTAGAGAGAAGTCTAAAATGATGGGATGTAACTCTTGATGTTGGAGATGGAGTGGGCTGGATGAGGGGTGGAAGGCACACTAAAAAGAAATTAGACTTTTAGCCGCAAAAATTATTGTAGGTAAATTTATAAAAATTGTCACTATATATTATAGTGACAACTTTTTTATTGTCCCTAGGTTGCGGTAACGTGTGTGTGGCTAAATTAAAAGGTTCCCTCCTAGAAAGAATGAAATGCATAGAGGAGCATCTTTTTGTTGCGGCACGCTCAGATTCACCGATTCACAGGGGTCCCAGACCCTACTTAGTTGACTGACAACGACAAATGTTTGTGAAAAATTAGTTATCACATTTAATTGTTGTCAGTAAAAGTAAATTTTTCAGCTACACTATAAAAATTGTCTCTAAATGTGAAATTTTTAGCTGCGATAATTATTGTAGCAAGTTAACGTAATTTTACCACTAAAATGTACCTTATCACCACTAAAAATTTGTGTANTCTCTAAATGTGAAATTTTTAGCTGCAATAATTATTGTAGCAAGTTAACGTAATTTTACCACTAAAATGTACCTTATCACCACTAAAAATTTGTGTAAAACTTGAATTTTAGTGAGAACAATTAATTGGAACTAAAAGTATATATTTTATCTACAATTAAAATCACCACTAAAATTTGAAACATGTTTTTAGCGACAACTTATTGTCACGGATTATTAATACATTAAAATGAACAAAAACAATCTATCACATATTTGAAAGAATTTCTTTNTATTGTCACGGATTATTAATACATTAAAATGAACAAAAACAATCTATCACATATTTGAAAGAATTTCTTTTTCAATATTTTTTAATTTCACATACTTGTTATAGTTTAATGAATCAATATATATACTTAATGAGGAAACAAACAACATAATAAACTCACTTTCAAAGATATAATTCCCAAATTAAATAAAGTGAAAATAATATTATGATATTAGTATGGTTAAATTTTCAAAGATATAATTTTTAAATTAAATCATGTGAAAATAATATTATGATATTAGTATAGTTAAATTGTGTTAGAATAAATTAAAATAAAAGTTTTAAAAACTACTTAACTAATTATTTTGTATTAATTTCTCAGTTTTAAACTTTACTATTGAAATTTAATTCTTGCAATTATAAATTAATTGTAATCTCTATTTTCGATTCATTAGGCATCTCGGTTATAAATGTTCATGCCATTTAATTACAAAATTGAAATAGGCTTAATAATAACCTGACAGTTTCATATTAATATATTTTAAAAGCTATTATTCAAGAATAATTAAGATAATGCCTATAAAACAAGGTGGCTGATTTGGACAGTACACGGTTAGTTTTACCCTTTTTTTCGTATGCTCCTCTTCCTCCAAGTTTTGCTATTCTTCCTACATATGTTTTTTTGCCATTATTACATTTGCATACCTACAAATATTTGGTATTAGTTTACTTTCTAGGCAACTTCGATTTGAGTCAAGTTCACTCATTTTTTCTAGTGGGCGTGACCATTAAAGATGTGTGGCTGCGAGTGTCTGAATTTTATCTTGGAGTCGTTGATGTGCATCCGTACTCTTGCTCGATGTGGCTTAGCTGTTTTAGGACAGTATTCACACGATTCTCGGACTCGCATAACAATTCTTTCTAATTTATACTATTTATTTTATTATATTCTAAATTGATTGTTATTTNCTCATTTCTTGTAGTGGGCGTGCCCATTAAAGATGTGTGGCTGCGAGTGTCTGAATTTTATCTTGGAGTCGTTGATGTCCATCCGTACCTCTTGCTCGATGTGGCTTAGCTGTTTTAGGACAGTATTCACACGACTTTCGGACTCGCATGACAATTCTTTCTAATTTATACTATTTATTTTATTATATTCTAAATTGATTGTTATTTTATATTTATTTGCGTATTCTTGTTAGTTTGTGATCTGAATATTATTTTGTTAAGTAAAATTATGTATAATTATGCTAATTTCCCCATCAATCTAAAGTAGCTGAATATATATATTCGAGTATTAACTTAAATATACAATCAAACATCTTCACTGAGTCGCCTATTATGATCAACGTAATTCACCTCCGTANTCAATCTAAAGTAGCTGAATATACATATTCGAGTATTAACTTAAATATACAATCAAACATCTTCACTGAGTCGCCTATTATGATCAACGTAATTCACCTCCGTATATATATACTGTTAAAGGATTGGTCACTTAGTCATCAATTTACTCACATGTGTCTTTATGCTAAGAGAAGGAGCATGTACATGTTTTAGGTTATTATAATTTAGACGTGCCATTGTCATATATTAAGTTCAGATTTTATTTTTATTTTTATTTTTTTTTAATAAAACCTAGAGTTTGAAATTTTTTTTTTTTTTTTAAGAAATAAACAAGGAACAGAAAACATAAAGCTTGATTTATATGACTTATAACCACAACCACATGTTACATGGAGCAAGTTAGCCAAAGTGACCTTCCCTTTGGGACCTTCCCTTTGATTGATGGCCTTACCACCCAAAGGGACCTTCCCTTCAAGTGGTAAGTGTGAATCCATTTAGCCCATAAGTTCTCTTTATCCTCAAAGGAAATCCATAAANAGTTAGCCAAAGTGACCTTCTCTTTGGGACCTTCCCTTTGATTGATGGCCTTACCACCCAAAGGGACCTTCCCTTCAAGTGGTAAGTGTGAATCCATTTAGCCCATAAGTTCTCTTTATCCTCAAAGGAAATCCATAAATGCCTCGACATGAGAGCTACATTCCAAACTTTAAGGCATTTAATACCTAAACCTCCTTTTTGCTTTGGCCTACATACATCCTTCCAAGCAATTTTGGCCCCTGCAGTTTGATCAACCCCCTTCCATAAGAAAGCCTGCNGAATTCATAAATGCCTCAACATGAGAGCTACATTCAAAACTTTAAGGCATTTAATACCTAGACCTCCTTTTTGCTTTGGCCTACATACATCCTTCCAAGCAATTTTGGCCCCTGCAGTTTGATCAACCCCCTTCCATAAGAAAGCCCGCGTGATTTGTTCAACTTTATCCAAAGGTGACCTTCACTTAACTGTTGGGCCGGCCTTGCTGGTGCCTTACAGTTTTTGTACTCCTTCCTATTGTTCAACTATATTCATCTCATTTTCCATATTTTTTTTCCTCGATTTGTTAATCTAGTATCCAAGCATTGAAATTTTAGAGAGAGAATACCAAGTATTTGTGGCACCTCCTAATTTCTTTTCAAATTCAATAATCTACCAAATGTTGTTGGAAGGCTCAACTCTGTCAGTGCTCTTCCTCGGACAAAGTTCTCCTTATGAGCTATTTCTCCTTTACCCATCATGTTAAGTTTTTCCTTCCTTGTCCCTATTTCTTCATCAAGGAAATTTTGGTTTAGTTANCTTATGAGCTATTTCTCCTTTACCCATCATGTTAAGTTTTTCCTTCCTTGTCCCTATTTCTTCATCAAGGAAATTTTGGTTTAGTTAGTCTCTATTTTGTTATACCCACATAATTTTTCAGCCTAGCATAAGGGAATTTCCTATATTTTATTTAGATGTGCAATTTAGGTGGGTTGAGAGGTCAATCTTAGCCCAATCCTAAATATATAATCTTCAACCCTAACCCTATCTCAACCTGAGGTACTTAATTCTAGTACTGCCTGAATTTAATTCAGTCGGACTCGGGTTGAATTAAGATTAGACATCGGGTTGAGATTGGGTTACTTTATTCGGGGTTGATAGATTTGATTTTTTCAATTGTAAATTTGATTTCTTCAAGTATAGATCTGATTTTTTTCAAGTGATTTGAGATGAAGAGTGAGGCGTAGATGAAGAGAGAGTGAGTGAGAGAGGGAGGTTGAGAGTCCGAGACAACTCAAATGAGTGACGATTGAGAGAGGGAGGCTGTGAGAGAAAGGAGTGACGAGTGAGAGAGGGAGGTTGAGAGTCTGAGACCAGATGAGAGACGAGTGAGATAGGGATACATTTGGATGAAGACTTGAAGTGTGAAAATCTGGACTCTGAAGAATGAATATAAATACTAACCCTAATTAAAATATGTCTATATATTTATGTATGTTTGGGTTGAACCTGATAACCCGAGGCCTCAACTCGAGGCTTATCCAAATTCAATTTGAGTTGAGATTTTTTTGCTTAGGCTCAACCTAAGTGTTAAAAATTTTAATCTAAATCTTATTTTTTTCAAGTTGAATTCGAGTTGACGCACTCAAGTTGAATCCCTAATTTTATTACCTTCTTCTTCTACATTTAACTCCAGATTGTTCTAACGGCATCTTCCATTGACATAAGCTTGCATCATGCAAGAGGTTAAGCTTGCATCATGCAAGAGGTTAGTAACAAACTCTTCCTTCAGTTTCCTTGTTATTTGAGATTTGCACGTTCCTAATTCCTTGCCAGCTGGTATTAATACAGTTGTATATATTATGGTTGGTTTGGTAGAGGTATTATAATGGAATTAAATATTAAATTATACTATTTTTTATTTAA